GCACCCGGACCGTATTGAATATCACGAATCGCGCCTTGATACGCGCTGCGTGCGGAAAAATACACTCGTCCTCACCTTCGTTTAGCGTAATTCACGCGTCCGGCCGAGCTGCTCGTCCTTGCCCCGCTGGCCACGGGCGACATAAACAAAGCGAAATATTGAAACACTGTAGGGCAAAATGTGACAACAGTGCTTGGCTCTTGACGCCATTCGACCGGAAGTACCTCTCCTACGCCACCCGCATAATATTGGCCAACGTACGCGCGTGACGACGATGGAAGGTTCTAGATCGGTCGTCGAGCGACGTGATTCCCGGTGATGTTTCGCTTTTCCGCGGGAAATAATCTAGTTCGATCTGCTTCCTATCCGCTCGCGCGACACTCCTCGCTCGAGAACAGCGCGACGAGATCCATGGAACCTTTTCAACGCCGCAGCTCTTTTGTGTCCCGACGTGGTATTTTTCGTCCGCACTTTGGCGACACTGATCACCGCTGCCTCCCTTCCCCCGAAACAACGGCGAGGGGGAGCCGCGACCTTCCGGTTACCGATAGTCGTGTAAAGTAAACGCGAAATGTCAAATTAGCATATCCACGGCGAGGTGCGGGTGCGTGAATACGGCGTTTCGGCGCGGTCGCGATCGAGCCGGCGTGGTACTCCGGCCGGTGACGTTTGCGACGCTTTGGCGCCGACGGGATGTCGATTCGTCGTCGCTGAGAAACGGTGAGCCACCCGTCACACGCATCATACTCGGGCGACGCGAAACTGAAGGGTTAAAAAGGAAGTTCCGTACCTACGCTGTCACTCAGCTGATTCATTTCCCCCGCCGCCGTCGCATGGCGTCTTGCTTCATCTTTTCCCCTCTTTTTCTCGTGTCTCCCTTTCTCTCTCGTACATTGCAATAATATTGCGCAAAGAATTCTGCTGTATTTAACATTAACGGACGGAAAAGTAAATGAACGTGGTCTGTGAAAGGAAAGAGTTCAGGGAGCGTATCGTTTATCGACAAGTAAACGTTGTAATTATAGTCAAGTAGTAGATAGACGAATAGATATCTATCTTGTCAAGTAATATGTAATTTTGTGACCAAAAATTTTTATTTTCCAGTGCATCTTAGTACTTATTCTATCTAGTACTTAATACTTTATCCTCCTTTCAGACAGCAAATTCCATCAAAAACGAGATTCAGTTAGAAATTTTGTCAGTAGAAATATAGGAGAAATATGATGACAGATTTATTACAGAAACTGAATAAAATCTGTCATTCAGTAATTATTTAAATGGAATATATGAACAAAGGATTATTTGATGATATGCTCTATTTAATTTGTTATGAAAGTAACAGAAGGTACTTTCCATTTAATCACAAGTCAACACAAATGTCGTTCCATCTTTCTTAAATTCTATAAGTAACAAAGTCTGAACGATACTTGTGTCATTAAATGGAAAGCACCCAGATATTCTTCATAATCTGTTAGCAAACTTCTAACATTTTATTGCAGTTACAAATTATCCAAAATTAATTCTAATAGTGCTATAAACTCCGATGTAAATTTATGATTTCTTAATGTTGTTGCTAACATTATATAAAATCTAATTTTTAGTGATTGTTTATATTTTTAGAACTGAATCCAGTTGCAGTCTAAAATTATAATGTGACGGCACTTGAAGCATCCAAGGAGAGTAATGGCTTCGATCTGCCGACGTTGGAGATTATGGATATTGCCTGTGCTGACCTGCCTGTATGCGCTACTCATTGTTATACTTGTACCAATCTTGCTAGTCAACTCCGTTAAGAATGGCTTTAAGAAGCAGGATCAGGGTGCTCTGGTGGGTGGCGCCTTTGTCCTATTGGCATTGCCTATCGCATTTTATGAGATTGTTCAGCACATGATATACTATACGCAACCTAGACTACAAAAATATATAATAAGGTGAGCTGTTCATCGCTAAAAAAATTTGCAGATTTAGTTTTAAGTTCTCTTCTCAATCAAGTATTAAGTATAAAAATTTTATTTTTCTTTTCAGAATATTATGGATGGTACCCATCTATGCAGTAAATGCTGTAAGAAAAAGTTATAAATTTTTCTTGTGTATCGTCAAAATTATACAAATATTTATTTATTATATGCAATTATTTAACGAACGTTTTCTATTTGTATAGTGGTTAGGTTTGGTATTTCCTGAAGGAAGTATATATGTGGACAGCTTGAGAGAATGCTACGAAGCTTATGTAATATATAATTTCATGAAATATTTATTGGCCTATCTGAATGCCGACCACCAGTTGGAGCATAGACTGGAGATTTCTCCTCAAGTACATCATATGTTTCCTTTGTGCTGCCTACCCGATTGGGAGATGGGCAGAGAATTTGTACACATGTGCAAGCATGGTATTTTACAATATGCAGCTGTTAGGCCTATATCAACTTTAATATCATTGTAAGCAATTGATTGATAGAGATATGTATTTCTCTGTGTGTTACAATATTTAAATGTATATTTCTATATTTGTAGCATATGCGAACTGAATGGAGTATATGGGGAAGGTGAATTTAAAGGGAATGTCGCTTTCCCATATATGATCGCTCTAAACAATTTGTCACAATTCGTTGCTATGTATTGTCTGGTACTCTTTTACCGTGCCAACGTAGAGGCCTTGAAGCCAATGAAGCCAATTGGAAAGTTTTTATGCATCAAAGCTGTCGTGTTCTTCTCATTCTTGTAGGTATTGCTGTAATCCGCACAATTGTGAGAAAAATATACAAACAAAGATGTCTCGAAACTCACGAATTAAAATATCACAGCGAGAAAACTGTTTTCTTAACAAAATAAGTTCAAGCAATTTTTGAAATATAAAAGCTTTGAGATATTAAAATTGGTCAACTACAGATTATAATTAAACGATTGGCTGCTCATGATCGCGATTCATATCATTGCGTAACTCACGGACAAGCAGTCGTTTAACCGTAATTTATAATTAGCTTATAAATATTATATTATAATTAGCTTATATTAGTTTTAAACTTTTGTATCTTAGAAATTATTATTCGGAATGAAAAATGGCAAATACTTTTTTAATTAATTTTTTTAAGGACTTTCTTATCGTGGTATTTTGATTCAAGACATTCTGAAAATGAGATGGAAAATACATAATGTTTTTTATTTACAGTCAAGGAGTATTAATAGCTCTTTTGGTGTATTTCGACGTTATATCGAGTATTTTTAATACTGATAACTCAGATGACATCAGGAATATATCGTCCAAATTACAGGATTTCCTAATTTGCATAGAAATGTTTTTAGCCGCAGTGGCGCATCATTATAGCTTCTCCTACAAACCGTTTGTCAATTTGGCGCAGGGTCAGGCGTGGTGGGATGCATTTAGGTTAGTAAAACAATAATAAACATTACTTATGAGACTTTTAAACAAATTGTTTTCTTATTTTAATTTTAAAAAATTTACGCTGACACTGGTGCTGAAATTAAATTTATATCTTTATTCTGAAAATTAATACACATTTGATTTATCTTTACAGAGCAATGTGGGACGTTTCTGACGTGCATAATGACATAAAGGAACATTTGGGCGTTGTCGGCTCGTCCCTAAGCCGCAGAATACGAGGACGTGGTGCATATCAGCAGACTTGGGGAAGCGCGACTGAACGTACGTCGCTTCTACCCGAGGCTACGGTGAGCCAAGCCAGAAGCGCGCCTGCCTGTTCATTCTCGGGTTACAACACCGAGGCCGGACTGAATAATAATCCATCCGTTGCGGAATCCGAGGAGGTGACCGTGAATACGCTGGATAGCACTAATGCCATCAATACGTAACCGATACGATTGATCTATTTGCATGAGAACGGCACTCGGTCAAATCTGTTGCGAGACCGGCGTACTAACGGATATCGCTCCTTAATATTAACTCTAAACGAAGAGGAGGAAAAAATTATATAGTTTTGCAACAGCATTCTCCAGCGTACAATTGTATAAATCATCATGATCATTTACTACATCATATACATATCGCGTTGAAATGTATACGTAATGTCCCGGGACCACGGAATGTTCCTTGAATCACAGTTGATTCGAAGAGGATTCCATCAACAAGAATGTTGGGATAATTTTTGATAATTGTATTTCAAGTTCGTGATATTCTGAAAATAAAATCTGTATTTAAATTTCGCTCGAAATTTAAAAATAATATGCGAACTCTCATTGTACATTCTTTCTACTGAAACATCGGTTTCAAATCGATTAAAGGAAAAAGATTCAGTAGTCTCGGGATATCCTTACGACGCGATTTACTACTTAAGGAATTTGATATGACTAACGGTGAATTTTGTGAGAAACGTGAACTCGCTTCTTATGTTCTTACTTTGCGAAAGACATTCGTGCACTTTATGTTACCAAATAATATAATACCAAATATGATGTACATACATTTATATATACGTAGAAAGAAATGTAATCCCGTAATATTTGTACATACGTCGAATGTCCAACGCGTCACATACATACACACATCTATCACATTTTAGGTGCGATCCATTTCACGTTGCAAATGCTTTGAAGCTTTCTTTGATTGGTCGATTCATAAAATTTTTTTCTAGTTAACAGCATTTACATTACGTTAAGTGGATCGCATTCTTTATATCACGCATCCTACGGATAATACTTAATCTTATTTTTTTTTCCTTTCAATATATCGAAACACAAGAACGAACCATCTGGCATATCAGGCGCTTCGAATTTTCTACTCATCCATATCTATTCTGTTCTTTCTCGCTTTATATATACACACGCGAATGTGGGTATATATCGCACTATGTATATTAATTTACTTTTATTTTACGATTATACTGTATCAGAAATAAAGGCTGTGTATGTTTGCATTGACCCTTATAAAAAAAATTTGACTCTTCCAGAAATTTGTTTCCTTTAAAAAAAAGGAATGAAAAACATCCTTCATATCATAGCATTTCAAAAAAAGCGCGCACGTGTCTTTTAAGTGTGGACTGATAGACCATGACTGTATTCACTTTGACACTCACAACGCTTATCCTTTCATCCTTATTGTTTAAAATTAAATATTAAACGAGAACAATTGATGCTCACAAGCGCTGTAAGCGCTAAAACGAACGCAACCCATGTGGCATGTGGCTTGAGTTTTGTGCCATCTTATCGCGTTTCTTGTTTCTGGTTTCAACTAAGATGAGTCATGTGTTACTTGCGTTTTCCCGCGCTTAGACGCGTATAATCGCTGGTTGATTTAGCTGAAATATCTTGAGAAAATATATTGATTTTAAATTCAAATAATTTAGGTATGGCAATCAGAAGTTCGTAATGACAGTGTTCCCTTGTACCGTCTGGAATAATGATTTCTAGTTGCTACAATGTATCTTGCATTTTATATATACACATATATATTTTTTTTAGGTATTATTGTATACGATATATGCTAAGAGGAGAGGAGATGAATAACGGTGTCGAGGTCGAGAAATCATTACAAGAAACGACACGGGACATGGAGCAGAAGAATGGAAACAAAGAACACGAGGAATATCAATATTTAAGACTTATCGAGAAAGTTATTCAGAGTGGAGCAAAGAAAAGCAATCGCACTGCTATGGATACTTATTCTATTTTCGGAGCGCAAATGCGATTCAGTTTACGAGATGGTAAATGCAATGCAGTTTCAACTAGGATATTTATTATTGAGTTTATTTTTGGTAATGCAAAGATAGCTGATAATAATTTCTAAGAATGACAAGTCTATAAATTTTTCAAAGTAATTTATAGTCTTTCAGAATGTCAGTAGAAATGTAAGGGAATATAATGATAGATTGTCTGTAGAAATCAAGTAGAATTTATTGACGAAACATTTAATATAGATGCAGTTAACGCCACAATATTATCTTCGAATCTGATCATATTGTTAACACTTTGCTTATTCGATTATAGGTGTTTTTCCATTACTGACAACTAAACAAGTATTCTGGCGAGCGGTGATTGAAGAACTATTGTGGTTTATCAAAGGATCGACAAATTCCAAAGAATTATCGGATAAAGGTATTCACATTTGGGATGAAAATGGTTCACGGGCTTTCTTGGATTCCTGTGACTTCACTGACAGAGAGGAGGGTGATTTGGGACCTGTCTATGGTTTCCAGTGGCGGCACTTTGGTGCTGAATATAAAGACATGCACACGGATTACACAGGACAAGGTATTTTTGATAAAAATATTCTTTAAAATAAATTATCTAAAATTCTCCTTTTCATATGTTTGTTGAACACAGAAAAAATATAATTGAAACTAACTGTGTGTACTTATTCTAGGAATAGACCAATTAAAGGAAGTCATTCACAAAGTAAAGCATTCTCCTGAGGACAGACGTATTATAATATCAGCCTGGAATCCGATTGATATTCCAAAGATGGCATTGCCGCCGTGTCACACTTTGGTACAATTTTACGTAAATAACGGAGAATTGTCCACGCAACTTTATCAAAGAAGCGCAGACATGGGTTTAGGAGTGCCGTTTAACATAGCGTCATATTCTTTGCTGACTTACATGATCGCTCATGTTACTGGATTGAAGGTGAGGATCGATACTGCGTACTCAAATTCCAGACAAATCTTATTCTATTTTTTATTTCCTTTTATTTTTCAGCCAGGAGAATTTGTACATACAATGGGAGACTGTCACGTCTACGTCAACCATATAAGCGCCCTTGAGAAACAGGTAAAACGCGAACCGCGCGAGTTTCCAAAATTAAGGATAGTTAGAGAAGTTAAAGATATTGACGATTTCATTACCGAGGATTTCAAGTTGATAGATTACAATCCATACTCCAAACTCTACATGAAGATGGCTGTCTGAACTACCTCGCTTGAATAAGCTTAATCCTCTGAAAGATCTATGTAATTTACATTTCGTTCTCATAAAATTCATTTAATGAAGCGACATTGGCTGCGTTCAGTAGAAATAGAAGTTTTACAGCTGTTGTGTGATTCTTTAACAGAACTGATTCCTCTTGTACTTAGTTCCTCACTAGATATAAATGTATAACCAATCATGCTTTTTTTGAAGCTTCTATGTGATACTTGCCTAATATTACCTCATAATCAATCATATTAAAGAATTTTACAGTTGTAAAGCTATTACTTTTTTTGCTGAACGCAGTTCTTGCTTTTTCTATTTAATGTACTTAATTATTATAATAAACGAACGTTCTAGAAACTAATCTTTCTGTAGTATTTTTTATCAATATTAAGATACACCGATTAAGTGATAGTACTTTCAATTATACAATATTTTCGACTTGAGAGAGATATAAAAAAATTATCTTAATATAGCTCGATTTCTCTTTATATATGGGCTGATGGAAAAGTGATGAATATCTTATATTGTAACCTCCTAGCTATTACATATATCGTAAGTAAAGTCTTATATACGCATATACATCTGTGCTAGTATGTATGTAGTATGTATATGTGTATATTTAACTAAACTTTCTAAGAGAAATTATATTTTTAATAAATCTTGTACCTTAAGTATATATCAATATCTTCAATACCCATCGCATGTAATTCATGCAAATCTATCACGATTCGTTTCCTTATTCCAATAAAAATTATCGCACGCGCTATTCCAACTTCTATATTACACAAATTTAATTTTTTTTCGGTCGATTATGATCGACAAGTATGGACGATCGCAAAAGGCCTTATATAAGCAGCTTCTATAAGTATAACAAAATTATGTAATTCTATATATAATATGTATAAATTCGTTATTTGTTTAATATAAATCAGTAAGAACATTGGAAATAATCATTCCTGCATTATAAACAAAAAGATTATTTTTAACGAAAATTTAGGAAATAGAACTTTTATATATAGGAATATTTTTTTTATAAAATGCAGTTTTATTTTAAACTAACTTCGCGTCCTATTAATATTTCAATCGGGATAAAAGTATAGCCAAATCTATTGTATATTTTATTAATGGCTCTGCTACACACAGCAATTTCTTTTTACGAGATGCTGGAGCGATAAAAAGCTCCGTTGTGAAAAAAGCAACTATACAAAATTTAGAAATAACTGCCGATTCTCACAACGATCTGAGAGACGTTTTATTTCGCAAATCTTTCTTAAGGGAGACTTTTGTACGTCAAAGGCTAGCACATTTGTACATCATTGGACTGTGTACTTAACTGATGCAACTGTTGAGTGACTGCCAATGTGCCGCATTCATTCACCGTTATGATCACCCAGATAACATCTACGACAAAAAGATAATTTTGCAATAAAATTTTACGATTGAAATTGAATCAAATAGGGCAATCTAGAAAAAGAATCGACGAGTTTTATTTTGGAAATCAACGAAAAAACAGTTATATTTTTTTAATTTAGAATATCAACAAGTAAATTGAAAATTATAATCTATGTGCACATCTTAATTAATATAAAATTAATTGAGTTAAAATTGTCTAGCAAGATTGATTTACTGATTTACATTAATAGAACATTTATTTATTTCTTTTAATATTACATGCTCTTAAATTTGCTGATCCTTTTTCTATATCACTACATTCTATCAGAAAGGCTGCATAGAATTCAGGACCACGTACCACCAAAATAGACACCATTGGGCGTCATCATTCTCCATTTACTCTGATGCATGCCGGTTTCAGCCGGACTTTTCAACGTTACGCTTAACTCTGTGGTTTCTTTGGGGGCCAATGGTGGAACAGGTATCCGTGCACAGCCCATTTGCACTCCACCAGAATGCTGCAGGTGGATCCCACTGGGCCATGCCTCGGTACCACTGTTCTGCACGCGCCATGACTTCTGAAAGTTTGTATTAGGTGGCACAGCTTCTCCCTCGCCGATCGTACTATCGCATATCAATGTCATGCACGGCGTATTGAAGGGATTTCCAAAATCAATATAGCTGCAAATTGCTGCTTGCAGATTCCTGGAAGAAAATTTATATTACAATAATATCTAGCAAAAAGGAATAAATTCTATATTCGCTCAAAAAAAAACAAACTATTGTAATATTACAATGACTCGCTTATTTGTGGATGGGTATATTTCTAAATTTAAATGATAAGATTTCAACTGAGTTTTATATGTCTTAATGTAACAATGATATTGCTCAACAACTGTTTTATTATCTGCAAACAATTAGAAGACAAAGACAAGGACAGTATCACTATGATTGTAACATAAATTGCGTTGTAAAACAATTTTCATGTTAAACAATTTTGTAGGTTTAATTGATGGTTGAAAATAACAAATCTATATATATTTCTAATTTGTAAATCAATAATTAGTTTAAATGTTAATTAAAAAATTACTATCCAGCATCATTGAGTGCTACTGAATTTTTTTTTAGCTATGCCTTGCATTTAAACAATGACTTTTATTTCAAAATACAAAAACATATTATCTATGCGTCACTTAAATTGCGGATTAAAAGAGTATGACCACAAAGTCCAAAATATCATTAGACTCTGAAATGGGTCATTGGCAATATTTTGACACAGATTTTTCATAAAAGCAGGGTAACGGCATCTCGAGGAGAAAAAACAAGAGAAGATTAAAGGAAAAATGACCCGACGAGTTACTCTTCAAATTCGAAAAAAAAAAAGGAAAAAGGCATTTCAGAGAGGTCTCAGAAAGAACGATACCCCTGCGGGGGGTAACATGGCGATGCAAGGTTATGTGCGTGGACAGCGTACACGGATGGCAAAGTAGCGTTCCGATGGGGGGAATGTCCGTTTACCAATTGTTCATGTCAAGGAAGAACGCAGCAGTGGTCTCATTCAGATGGCTGTCCGCCAGTAGCTTCTGCAGCTGCTTCACTAAATCATCTTTGTCCGTGGTGCCCAGGCAACTGAACTGGTGCAGCAAGTGTTGGTCCAGATCGTTGTTGCGATCCATGATCGCTGCTTCTTCAACAGCACTCAACTTGAACGGTGATTCAATGCCCCATGTGCCCCAGGCTGTCAAAACTGTCAACGTCGGACTGTCAACCCTATCTGCTCTGTTTATCTTTCCACCTCCTCTCCTTCGTCGTCGTCGTCGTCGTCGTTGTACTCTCAGTCACGGATTTTAAATGTCATTCTCCCAAGTGACACTCAGTCGGTCCGTATCCGTACTGTGCATATCCACGGTACCCAGTCCAGAGCCGTCGAATTCTGGATCCTTTCTACAATTGGGCCCTCCCCTTCCTCTCGTCATGAGATTGCAAGTCATTCGTACTTCCGTTTTTTTTTTCCTTTTTCTCTTTGCCTATTTAAGGGCTACCTGCCAATTTTGGAAATGTATTATAATCTTTTACACTCTTACAAAAAAAATTATGCATAGGTCTAATAGACGTTGGGATTGTTTTCTTGATAACGGTGATAGATGCGGCTTCGACGCATAGGACCTTTTTCATAGCTCTTGTCGAGAAGAATCGAAATGGTCCTGTGGAATTTTATCGTATCTGTCACTGTTCTCGAGATAGTGGGTCTTTTGTCTAGACCCGTGCGTAACATTTTTTTATGTTTACTTTATAAATTCGTACTTGAAATTAATTTATTATAAATTTATATATTTAAATTTAAGATCACATTGTTTATATTTATGATTCCAACAAAGCCACCATAATTTTGAGAACGTGCCTGAAACAATTTTAAAGATTAATGCAAAAAATGCTGCCTTGATCTTCAAACGCGCAGCGAAAGACTTGAAAATAAGTGTGAATGTATCGCAATCTTCGCCTCTCCGGTCTCGTTCCAAAAAGTTTAAATTTATTTTGTTAAAAAATAAATTGTCTCTTATAATTCCCGATCTTCTATTTCTTTTTCCAATTCGCAGTGTTTGATCGCCTTCCTATCTGTTCACTTCGTTACCGCAAGTTATCTCAGTAGGGGCGGGGCCCCGCGAATCGATGTCGCGCCCCTACGCAGTATACTCCGTATGAAAAATAGTATTTTTCGTGAGACAGTCCGTACAAAAATGATAAGCGATAAACTGCCTTTCGTGCACTGCGGTCGTGCGCGTTACCTTGACCTTGTCGCAGAAAATTGGAGCTTTTCTTGAAAATAAATAATTTACAGACATCGAAATAGCGTGAATTTTAATAAAATGGAAAGTGCCTCTCTAGGGATGCTTATCCCACTTTAAATGCCTTCTTTATCTTTTTCTTCCTTTCAATAATAGCTCTCAAAGTAACTCCGAAAAATTTCTCGTGCTTTCATCACGTATTATATTTATTAGTTTGTTTTAAAACTTTCATATAATATATGGATGAGATGTGTGAGAAAAAAAAAGATATAGTTTGCATCTCTCGAATATCACATACATCGCATACAATCAAGAACAAAAAACGCCGTTCGTAATTTCAGTACGCAACAATTTTTAGTATGCGAAGTTATATACATCCTTACTCTTATTATATTGTCTTATTTTACAAGAAATAAATATAAAATCAAAAGAAATAATTCCTTAATTAAGAAATCTAATAAAAAATTTACAGAAATTTATTTATTTTTAAATACATAAATTTCAGTTAATATATGAATATTTCAAAGTCATATTCCACTTCAAAAAAAATTTCGTTAATCATCAAATAATTTAACAGAATTATTTAAAAAGTAAAATTTATAACTATACAATTCATTCTTAATCTAATCGTTCTTCTTACGTAATAATAAAAAATAGTGATAATTCTATTAACAAAATACTGCAGGAAAAAGAGAAAAAATGAAAAATACAAAAAGTTCAGCAAATTGGATTTTACGAGTGTAACTGCACTGCACCATGCCTGCACCTATTCGAATAATCGGCCAATCACTGGACGGAACGACGCGACAAGAGTCATGATGGGGATAGTTCGAGTGCAGTTCGGTCGTCGGCACTAATTCTGTTGCTTTTGTCCGCGACTGTACCCATCGTCGAAAGTGCGCACGCGCGGCGCGCGTGGCGCGGGACAGCCGACGTTCGAGACAAACGAGCGGCGCGCACACGGCTGTGACGGACGCGCTCTGCGGGCGCTCGATTACGACGATACGGGGAGAAAAAAAAATAATCGGACGGCTCATTTCGGAAGCGTGTCCCGCGCTGGACGTGCACGGCGAACGCGGGGCGGAAAGCCGCGCATGAATCGCGGTATGACGGAGCGTGTCTGAAGTTGAAACGAAAAAAAAAAAAACGGAGCTGAAAGTTTTTTCGCGCATTCTTAGTCTTCGACGATGATCTCGCGACGAATTCGGTTGAGATAGAAGAACGTGGAATATTTCAGGGCACCTCGCGCGAAAAAAAAACGAATAAACACAGCAAACGGGAGCAAGGTATGAGACGTTTTCGCGTTTTTCACACGGCGATGTTTATTGAATTCGTGTGTCGCAAAATAAGCTTTGTACCAACAGAATGCGTCCGAGAGGAATACTTTATAATTATACATCACGCTTGTTTTTAGCTTGTAGCTAATATTGCACACAAACGTCAGAATAATTATTTTCCAAATGGAGAATTATTTAACGCACGAGCTAGCTTTGCTGATTTTTTTATTTTGCGAAAAGTAAGTAGATTTAAAAAAATGGAGTCGTTTATTTAAATTAATGGGAATTCTTTGATTTAAATTAATGGAAATTTATATATTTTGTAAATTTAAATTCTGAAACGTTAGATTTTTTATCTCAATTTCCAATATTTTATCTTAGAAATTTAGTTTTTTATTTTTGGTTTTACAGGCTAAAATTTCTGCTTCTTCCTTTTGTTTATAGGATAGGGCGAAACTATTCTGTCAGTTTCAACTTTAAAATAATACAATTTAAAATTTACGATAACAAACAATATCTCTTTGCAGTAATGTACTTTATAATTATATTATACAATCATGATTGCTCTTTGAGGATACAATCTTTAAATGATCAATTTATTCTGTTCAGAAACATTATTGCAAGAAATGGACAAAAAAACTCTGCTCTATATAAATAATTCCTTTTGTTTATTTATTATTTTGCCTTTTTAATAGGCCTATCCGCTGACTTGCACTTGCTAGCAGCCCGAAGGCCAACAAGATGATCGGACCATCGTCAGGGAATGCTGGCGAGGTCACTGAGAGTCAATGCTGTGCCTCCGCCAAACGGAAGATCTTCGACGACTTGGAGGTCGACGGCTCCAAACGAAAGGTTTTTAATGAGTTGGACATTGACAGCTTCTGCGATGAGGTCCGCCAGACGAGTCGCAAACACTATCTCGAAGAACTGGAGACGCCGGTGGAATTGGTGGCTACATCAAACGATATCATTGCCAACGCGGCGGCACTCTTCTCGCCGATGTCTGCCCAGGAGGTCGTCGAGGAATCGCAGGTGGCGCGTCTGGAAGTATTGTTAGTGGATGGCACAAATTGCACCTGGACGACTATGTCGGAATTGGAACAACAGCAGAATGTGGACATTCTCGTGACCTCGTCTTCCTCATCGTCGTCTTCAGTCTCATCAACCTCATCCTCGTCAAACACATCTGGATGTGCTGAGCGTCATCCTACAGAAACCTACATTGAAGAGCTTCATTATCAGCCGACTGTATCGATGAATTATTGGGAACCGGTCGCCGCCCCCGTAATCTCGCTTGCAAATCTGAACACGCAGCAAAATAAAGGAACGACAAGCAATAATCAGCAGCAACAGCAGCAGCAACAGCAGCAGCAGCAACAGCAGCAGCAACAGCAGCAGCAGCAGCAGCAGCAGCAGCAATTCGAAGATCAGGAGAATGGAAATTTGTCGTGGTTGTTGGACTTCAAACTGGACTCATTCATCGAAGCCGCGGATGATAGATGCACTATGGCACCCACCGCGACAACGAAGAACAATTATTGTGGTGAGAAAAGTGCAGTACAAAATAAATGTTCGAATCAACTTTCACGAATACTAAAGTTAAAGAAAGATAAAAAAGGTAGAGAGATGAAAGAGAAGATAAAAAAGATATTGTATACTTTGGTGGCAGAACTAGAAACTTTATTTAGTTCTAACTTTATTAAATCTTTATTTAAATTAAATGAAATTGGAGCTAAATAAAGTTCTTGTTATTTAAAAAAAAATCCTCTTTAGATCGATCGATCGCGAAACTTTTTGCTTGCAACTATTTTCGAAACGGTAGTAAATGGTGTCTCTAATGAAAATTCTTTTTAGAATGTTTATATAAGTTTCCAAATTTTTTAGAATTTCTTTAGAATTTAAACTTTATAATTTTTATTAATTTTTAGAAAATTTTTCAGATTTTTTTGTACAGAAAATCTATACGTCTTTTTTAGAAATCTTCATATTTGTGCATTCTGAAGTATTCTATGATACATTTTATAATTTCTGATATAATTTTATAAAATCTGAAAAAGTTTAAGGTATTTTTCACAAATTATAGAAACTATTTCAAAATTCATATATACATATAAAAAGTTCTAAGAAAAGATATAAGATTTTCTCAGTTTTTTTCAAAAGTGTTCCTTATTCCTACGAAAATTTTGAGAAACTTTTTCATCAGGAATAGTTTTCAAAAATTTCATTATTTAATTAAATTACGAATTTTTAAAAATGTGTATATTCCGTATCTCAATTAATAGAACGGTTCCGCGGTTAATTGCACATTTTCAGGCAACAAGAATAAACCGAACGGAAGGTCGCATGGCTCCAATTACGCCAACGACGTCAAGAGAGGATATGGCAGTCACGAAAATTCGTCGACATATCGACAGGACGTAAACCAGGCGACTTATCCCGCCAACGGAAACGACAGCCGAAATTTCTCGTCCGCGCGATCCAATGGGCCAAAGAAGCCACCTTTTACTTATACGGAATTGATAGAACACGCGTTACAGGAAAGAGGCGAGCTCACTGTTTCCGCTATTTATCAGTGGATCTCGTAAGTTGGCAGGAAATTTATTACTATTTAGTCAAAACTTTGATTTATTATTTGCTTATATATTGCAACGCCTTGTCAAATTTATTGCCCATGACTGGCATGCTATAAGCTTCATATGTTTTCTCTACAATCTTTCCTTCACATAGCCTTTCAATTAAATATCTAATTAAACATACCAATTAAAATATTATTTCTTCCAATTTATTCTTATATATATTTTATATACCTATTTTTTAATTCTTAATTTTAAACGAAATCACAAGTTAAAATAAAACATTCCATTGATTAAAACTAATAAGTTGACTCTACGAAAGAAAAATATTTACAAGTTTTACTCGAAACGGACGGAGTGTCTTTCTTAGTTGCGTATTAGACGCGCAAGGGGTTTTCTACGAATTTACACGAACGTGGCCCGCTGGTTGGGGGTGGGTCGACGGAGGTGGGCTACTTCTAGATGGTACCCATTGGTACCACTGCCCCCATTGCTTGGCACCACCTGGCACTAACTCCTCACCCTTCAGCTATCCTTCGTTGCAGCCCTCAACACGAATGCGCACAATTTACTGCTCCTGTGCCTTCACCTGTTCGATCGCTGTTCGAGCTCCTTGGAAAATATGTATATATAGATCATTCAGGTTCAACCGCGTAGGGCGCCGCTCGAATAAACGAATCAAAAAAAATATTTTCGGTTGCTCTGCAAAGAGGCAGACTATAAATATACACAAATAAACTTATAAACATAACATATATAATATTAAAAATTATAATCTTATTTTCACATTTTTTTTGCCTTATTCAAGATTATCAATGACTAAAAAAGCAACTTTGCAACTATTATAAAATTTTTTAATATACTAAAACAAATGTTTTAACAGCATTTTAATTAAAAATAATTTTGTTGATATAACAACAGTATTAATGAAATAAATTTTATTAAAATAAAAGTATAAGTATTTGTTTCATTAATGGTGTTATTTAATAACAAAATTATTTTCAATTCAGATGATACTATTGATACATTATTTTTTTTAGTATGATTAACACGATTATAACATGATTTATACATTTAGAATTGTGACAAAATCAATCATATTAAAGAATATTTTACAATAGTATTGCATCTTGAAATCATAGTGTGTATGTGTGAGTATATATTAAAAACATTATTTTATTACATCGATACGCAAATATGATTTAGGCTTGTTCTATCTTTCGATAAACTTCAGCTCACTATCTTAATCTTTTACACTCTTGTGCTCTTTCACTCTTTTGTTTATCCCTTTTAATTATTTATAGTAGATAAATTATCACATAGTTTATTCGAAGATGGAACACCAGTTCTTAGAAACAGATTCATTAAACTGTTGGTATAAGTGACAACATTCATTACGATCATCGTGATCAGCGGAGCGAGTAAATGCACCATTTAGCATTTCAAATGCACCCTTGGCTTAAATGTTTCTCGTTCTCCACCGAAACTCATGAAATTAATCGCAAAGACGGGGTGCGTAACGCACCGTGACATCGCTGCGAGCAGGTGAAGGAAATTAGTTTCGTAGGGACGCAAATTAGCTCCGTGCGTTTTTATGTGTATTATCCTTAATCATGTTTCCGTCGATTTGCCTACGTAAAATGATCATAGTAGTTCCTGCAAGCACTTTGAATCATTCAAAAAAAACTTTTATTTTGAATAAAAATATGAATCGTATTTAATTTGTATAATCGAAAGGATACTTTTTGTCGTTTTCAGCGAGCATTTTCCTTACTATAAAAGCAACGATGATCGCTGGAAGAACTCCGTCCGACACAATCTCTCGATAAATCCGCACTTCAGAAAAGGATCGAAGGCGACTCATGGAGCGGGTCATCTTTGGGCGATTGCGAATCGTGGCGATTGCAGACCTCGTCCATTGCCAGTTACTAGTCTGACAAATAGTACACAAATACAAATAGCACAAAATGAGTCTGAAGAATCCCGGAGTAACAAAATCATCAGGTAAACATCTATTCCTCATAAAATTTTGTAAAGCTATTTCTTCACATTACTGAACATCTTAACATTACAGCCAAATCATGGACGAGGTGGAGGCTGCGACGGCGAGCATCACACAGTCAAATTCCGAGGAGGATGCGGACGATATACTGAATTCCGTGACGCTCGAGCATTCCGCCGAGCAAATACTCAACGGAATAAAACGCCAAGTGGAAGTGCAATATCTAGTTCCCATGGTGAACGATTCCGAGGCAGGTCATCAGAACGAACAGACGACGGAGCAACAAACGGATTCGCTCCAATGCTCCTTCAAAGAAAGTGGTGAGGATATTATAATCAATGTTTCTTTTAGGAAGAGATTGACTCGACATTGATGAAACAAAATTTGATGAATTATGAAATTTATTGCAGATTTTCTGAACCCGGTATCTAAGGAGGTCGTCGCCGAGGAATGCGGACTCGTAAACGAAGGATATCTAGTCACGGATCCGACTATCCTGGGATTAAACGTGGTCGATCCCGAGATTATAGGATCGGAAAATCTCTTCGGCGAGGAGCTCAGCTTTCAATTTTATGAATTGACGTCGCCGTCGCAGCTACAATCCGCCTGACACGCAGAGGGCAACAAAATACATCTTATTGTGATTGACGAACTTCAGATACAGAACGCGCGGTCGTATGATAACCAGCTGGTTCGCGATGTTGCCGAAACCGAGAAAAACGTCTCAGAGCGGGAAAACTCGCAGAGAAAATCGCCTGTCAACAACGATCGGGTCAATGAGGACTGTACGATGACGAGAAGCTGATCTTACTCGAGAAATTTTTTACAATGACGCGAAATGTTCGATCATTTTATTCGACGCGGCTGCTAGATTAACTAAAAGCTTAATTGAATCAGCTGAACCAGTTAATTGATATGCTTAATGAATGGATAACGAGTCAAGCACGGTACAAATACGAGAAAATCTTGTTCAAATGTAACGTAGTTCGAGGATTTGATAATCGTGATAATTACCGAAGGACTTTAGAGTGGCCGGAGTGAGATCAGAAAATAAACAACGTAATTACATATCGTCCAACGTGTGCCTGGTATCTTAAAGAGAAGCATTATTTATCAACTATGCATCAAAATTTCTTCTAGTCTTTTGCGAAACAGTGTGTAATGTTTTTGTATTAGTAAAAAAAAGTATGATATTTATTATTACGTATGTGTATATTGTCTCTGAGATTTTATACTCTCGCCAGAATAAGCGCGAAGTGCTCATTGGAAAGTTTCTACTATAAAGATAAACTAATAATATAAAGCAAAGAAAGGCATTTGGATATCTTTTGATCAAAGCCAAGTTCACTTCGCGATGTCTAGCGTTGAGATATGAGAACGCTGATTGCTTAAATAAAATGTAAAGAAAAATGTTATATGGTTTAATATCGGCTGTACGTTCTCGAAATAGGCATCTAAAAGAGAACTCTAATGAATTATTAATTTATTAGCTATACAATTAGTTTTATACTTTGCGAAAGAAAACGTAACTATTCTGTAGGTTTTGTTGAATCGGTTTCTTGTTCTTGATTCATTTTTTGGATCATGCTCTTTAATTTTTCGTCCTTCGCCTTCTTCTTAGCTTCCTTTTTCTTCTTCTTTTCCTCCTTTTCTTTTTGCGCCAGCATCGTCTTAAATCTCTCATCATGAGGCGAGATCTTGAAGCCAAAGTGTTTCCTGATCTCCTCCACTAAGCGCTCTTTATGCAACCTAGCAGCCTCCATTTCGGCTTTCTTCTTAGCGACCCTTGTGTTCAACTCGGCCGTCCATTGGTCAACCTTCGACAATTTTTCGGCTATTTCATCTTCCCTACAAACACATCATACATTAATATGCTGTTCCAAAATTGTAAATTTATAGATAGTAACTGCATTCAGCAGAAAGAGCATCTTTGCAACTTTTGTAAAATTTGTTAATATAATTAATTAAGGAACTAAGGGCAAGATTAATCATATTAAAGAATTTCAACAATTGCAAAGCTTCTTATGTTGAACACAGCCAGTGATAAAAAAAGCCAGTGATAAAGACATGCCTTGCTTTAATTTTCTCAGCCTTTATCCGTTTTTTCTCCTCCAGCTTTTTCCATCTCTCTTGAAGAGACTCTGGAAAGGCAACTCTCTCGTACTCTTGCAAGATCTTGACCTCTTTTGGTGTAGGCCATGCAAACCCAGCTGGCTCCTTATTGCCTTCGAATCCATATCTACCTAGCATGCGCTTCTTGTATCTTACTGTATTGTGATACCACTCGATAGGCTGCTCGTAGGGAGGCTTGCCCATAAGTATATTCCTGTCCTTCGGATTCAGCCGAGACTTGTTTCGCTTCTTGGTGAGCTCCTCCTGGTACTGAGGCTCGTTTGAGTATATTGGCTGCTCATCAGCAGCAGTTATATCGATGGCTTCGTTCTTCGCCTGCGTGGCGAGAAAACGACTGACGACGGCGCCTTGGAATCGCACATTCCGTTGAACAATAACATCGCAGATCCATCGTCTTAGACTCATCGGGATGACGAAACGTACTCAGGAGTCACAGGATCGCTATAAATTTAGGTTAAGTTTAGATCGAGTTACATCAAGGCGATTAAAATAAAAGTGCGTTAAATGACAGAAGAAATTGGGGTGCGAAAATTATCAGCTGTTACAAGCACTCGTGAGAGACAGACAATACATTACGTGCAAGAACTGTACTTTCGAAGAAATCTCAATTGTTTACGAGAATATAATCTATTCGAATTAGTGTTGTCGAACTCGTGCGAGTCATCAATTTGCACTAGTCCACTTAGGTTAGGGTATTGAAAACGTGGTTCAAACGGCATATATAAACAGGCATCGCGATGGCGAAACGTCTCTCGAGGGTAATACGATAATTAATAATATTAATTGATGGGAAAGTTAAACACAAAATTATTCAATTGTTTATTGTGAACGCAGTTACCGGGGAAGCACGGGGAAACATACGGGACTTTTGTCTTCGACGACGAGGGACATACCTTGGGAAATGCGCTCGCTTCTGTGATAAATGAATAGTACGTATCATTTGAAATTTATGAATGTAGTTTCATCGTGGAATATTGTATTTTTATTCTTCCAATCTTTCCTGCAGTCCAGGCGTGAAAATATGCGGCCACACTGTGCCACATCCTGCAGAAAATAGGATGCATTTGAATATCCAAACAACCGGTGAAAATGTGATCCAAGTTTTGAAACGGGGCCTCCAGGATCTTGAGAGAATGTGTGATCATACGATCGAGACATTTAATAAAGCCTACGAAAAACATAAAGCTATAAAAGAAGACTCTGTGGATACTACGTAATACTGTCATTTTTTTTAGATTCTTAATATATTACAAATAAGTTTTTACAACTTTTATTAACCAAAAATGAAAAATTTGTTTAAAAGCATAAAGTATAAGCTTCTTAATAAAATAAATTGAATAATTAAAAAGCTTGGATGGTTTTTATTAATTATATGTACTTATATACATAATATGTACTAAATAGTTAACACTAAAACAATTGATGGAATTTCACTAAATTGTCAAAGATAGCAACTTGGTAATTTTCTAGTTTTGTTTTCAGTTAGAAAAAAGTTATTTTGATACTATCTGTGTTATATTTTCATATTCTTAATATTCTGTCTTGTATGTTATAAAACAAAATTAAAATGATTAACAGAGCTGTAATGGCACCATTGATCATTTTAGTGTTAATATAATGTACATGTATCAGCATATTCTGTGATGATACATGCAACATTGATTATAGTTTCAGTATCTATTGTCTATTAGTTTCTATCTATTTTGCTCAACGAAATGAAGGAGAATAGGAAATGTTAGATTCCTAACAGGCAAGAAATTGGAAGGGAAAAAAAATAAAAATTGTTTTACAATTTTTCAATGCGCTTTCATAGAGGCTAGATGTTTATTTAGACAACTTCGGCCGCTCTCGCGCCTCCTTTATGAGTTTTAGACAGATAGTCAGCGAATTCTTGATATGGTGCCTTAGCCAGAGCTTGCTCCTTCCACAAGTCGGGCGTCAGATACGCGTAAGTCTTGGCGATCGCAGCATAAGTAGCCTTGGCGAAGTTACCGAGTGTGCAGGTTGATCCTCTAGCTGAGGTATAGCAGTCCTCGATACCAGCCATCTGAAGAAGCTTCTTAGGAACTGGGGCGGATACAATGCCAGTACCTCTGGGTGCAGGTATTAGACGCACCTGTACGGAACCGCACTTGCCAGTTACCTTACACGGCACCGTGTGCGGCTTGCCGATCTTGTTACCCCAATAACCACGTCGAACTGGTACAACGGATAACTTAGCCAAAATAATAGCACCGCGAATCGCAGTGGCTACTTCCTTGGAGCATTTTACTCCCAGTCCAATATGTCCATTGCTGTCTCCGATGGCAACGAAAGCCTATAAAATGTTATATTTTGAATACTCTTGTCTCTCTAAAATTTTATATTCTAGCTACTTTTTTAATTAGTTCAATTTATCTATTTTTTTCTAATTCTTAAAATTAAACAAAGATAAACAGTAAGTTAAGTCAAGATTAAAATTTATTTTATATTGATAGAACTGGACCTTGAAAAAAAAAAAATTTACCTTGAAACGTGTACGTTGACCGGCACGTGTCTGCTTCTGTACCGGCATGATTTTTAGAACTTCGTCCTTTAGATCTGGTCCAAGGAATTTATCGATGATTTCGTATTCCTTGATGGGTAAGGAGAACAAGTAGATGTGCTCGAGAGACTGAATCTTGCCATCTCTGACTAGACGACCCAGCTTGGTAACAGGGACCCATTCTTTGCTATCCTCCTTGCCACGTCCACGGCCGCGTCCTCTGCCTCTACCTCTACCACCTCGACCTCTCAGGCCTCCGCGATCACCTCCCGCTCCACGAGAACCAAAACCTCCACGAAAGCCACCACGTGCGGCTGGAGCAGCGTCCGCCATTCTGTGATCAAACAATTCATGATAAATTTGATTTTTTTTCAGAAATGTCATCTATAATACATCCTAAATTTTAATCTTATTAAAAGTTGATAATTACTATGCACATATTTTTAATATTGAAATTTGCAAGGGTAACCCTAAGCGGACGATATTGACATACGACATTTCATGAAATATTAGAAAATGCAATGAAAGTATTCATATGAGAATATCCATAGTTTTAACATCTTATATAGATGAACGAAAAATATTCAAAAATGATATAAAAATTGAGAACTTTCTGAAATATACTCACGTTACTTCTTTTCCTTTCCTCGAAAATCACAGAAGAACCGGAAACACGAGGTGGAAACAAGAAATTAATCTGCCTTCGAGATGGCGCCTCCTACATGACGTATATCCGATATTTAAAAAAATGGCGCGTTCTTATTCAGTAACGGGTTAGACATTTAGACATACAAAACAAAAATTTATCATACTATTAACTAAGTGATAATCGTAAAATAATATTTAAAACAGAAAATATAAAAAAATAAATAAAATATATTTAATGTTCGGTAAAAAAGATTTAGAGAAATATTCTATTATTTCAAAGTATGCAAATGAAAATATAATTTAGAATGTAAAAAATAATGTTTCTGGAAGAGAAGTAAAAAAAACAGATTTTTATTCATTGTGTGTAACAATTTATAAATTTGTTACATTGTATAATCAATACAGAAATAATGTACGAAAATACAGATTTTTTATTTATCAGCTTGTAAAATATTGTAAAAATAAAAAAGTTCTTATTTCACTTGTTTACCCTTTACATATACTGATACTATATTACGTTCATCACCAGCATATATAAATCTCTGGAAATTCTCTTCGAGTGTATATTCTTTAAAATTATCTAACAAACTGCCTTCTGCGTTCATGTCAACGATGAGAGCATCGAATTCTTTGCCTACCATCAAATTACCGACTTTGTCATCAATTGCGAGTGCTAAATACAATCAATATGTTAATATAATTGTAAAAAGTTTTGTATGGATATAAAGAACATTCTTAATATACAATGACCAACTTTACCTTTAGCACTTCCCAATGTTGCCATATGGAAGACATCTTTGTAACTAAGCGGTGTATAATTATCTCTCGTTAAAAATAAACAATTTGATACTTGTAAAACCGATCTCATCTCATTAAGCATACTGTAAGTAGCTGCACCTGAAGCATCTAAGAAAAAATATTCATTTTTAATATAAATATATTACGTCATATATATTAATTGAAATTCAAAATTTAGAGTTTAAGTTAAATATCCAAATTGTAAAACTTCTATAAAGAGATTCTTGCGACACCTGTTCCAAGTCCGACTTTGATACCGTTAGCCTTTAATCTTTGTACATCGCAAAGCCCGCTTTTCAGATTTGTATTTGAAGAGGGGCAATGAATTACAGCTGTCCCTCGTTCTTTAAGAATAGCAAGTTCACTATCTTCAAGATAGACTCCGTGCGCTAATATTGTCTATAAAAAAGAACCAGATGTTATATATGACTCTCAATTGTTTCAGTGCTTTTTAATAAATTAAGAAAATGAAGTATTATACCTTATTGGTAAGAAGACCAGCAGCATCATAAACAGCCGTGTACGAAGGCAGGTGTGGAAAAGCTTGTTTCACTGCTATTATCTCATCCTTATTTTCAGAGACATGACTCTATAGACAATAAGAAACTCTTTGTATTTATAATAATAGTTGTACATTGCTGATAATATTAAACAAATTCAATAAATTAAAATACCTGTATATGTATGTCTTTCGTCTTAGCGATCTCTGCCAGCTTTTGCATTAATTCCATGTCGCAGCTCAATGCGAATCTTGGTGTGATGATCGGTTTTACAAGTGGATTCTGCAACAAGTTTGGAATAATGCAAGATTTTTCTGTGATTAATTCTGACATAGGATTGACTGTTTATCTATAATTGAAGAGTTGGCAATAAAATATAAGTTTGCACTTACCCCTATTATCTCAATAGACTTTATAAAACCTATGGTGTCTACAATTGACGTCAAGGTGCTTTCGCAATATCCATCGTCACGCGGAATGTTCATGTTCACTTTTCCGATGAAAGCTCGTTGACCTAATTTAGCAGTTTTTTTTGCAAGAATTGCACATGCATCGGCATATAAAGATGCAAAATAACATGCCGTTGTTGTGCCCATTTTGATGGTCCGTTTCTGTAATGACATGTATATTAGACATAACGAAAAGATACAAGAATATCTGAAATAATTATACATTTTATGGTGTGATCTTGATCAGAATTGTTTCACGCACCACAACTGTTTCAAACACTCGCTCTGCAAATTCTGTATCACTATACTTTTTCTCCAGCGGAAAGGTATAAGTTTCCAGCCAATCCAAAAGACACTTGTTGTAACCCAGTCCAAGATTTGGAAACTGTACTGCATGAGTATGGGCATCGATAAATCCAGGCATCATAAACTGACCATGCGATAATACTTTAATTTCATCTCGAATTTTCCGTTCGAACTGAAAATCTTTCTCGTAATCCTTTGAATTCTCCAAAATCCGAGTAATCTAAATATTGCATAGGTAAAATTATTATATTTTTTATTTTAAATAAACTATACTATATACAAATGTGTACGTAAAATTAAATTATTAAATACTTTGCCATTATCAACAAATACAGCAACGCTCTCCTTAATAATTAATTCTTCTTTATCATTTGTTTGAATCAACGGACCAAAAAAAACTTGTCGAATCATTACTATATCTTCTATAAATGCT